CCACCAGAGTTTAGAAGTAGAAGATTAAAACATGTATGATTCTGTCAGGTCCTTACATGTTGGGTGTGGAGGAGATGTTTCCACTTGGATAATCTGGAAACTAGAGGTCACCCATTCAAAACACAGGAGGAGAAAAGACCTATCAGAGAGTTGTAAGCCTTTGGAACTCTACTTCCACCATCTTTGGAGGAAGAGAGTCATTGAACATTTTTAAGGCTGGTGTAAATAGATTCTTAATGAGCAAGTTGGTGAAATGCTCTTGGTAATGAAGTGGGATGTGAAGCAATCGGGACACCCCCATCATCTTATTAACTGGTCGAACAGGCTCGAGGAACCACTCTTCTCTGTTTCTAGTTCATAGACATACGCAGGGAAGATTATTCAGGCTGGATTTCTTTCCTCATATGAAGACAAGACTGATGGTGACTTAATTGAGTATTTAAAATTAGGGAGGAGTTCGGTGGAGCGAATCAGAAAATGTTTCTCCTTGTGGAGAACAGCAAAGAAATCCAATTGTGAATTCAGAAAAAAAAATCCAGTCTTTATCCAAAGAATGAGTAGAATATGGAACTTGCTACCACAGGTAGTGATTTCTAAGGTTTTGGAGTAGATCTGTAGCTCGGGTTGTGGGTATTGAGATTGGTTGGCTCGCCGAGCTGGTTTGTTGTTCTGCAGACGTTTCGTTACCGTGATTGGTAACATCCTCAGTGCAGCCTCTGATGAAGCGTCGGTGTGTTTTCCCACCTGGTTTTTAAACTCTGGGGTCTGTTGCGATGGATTGCCTCACTTCCGGTTTTCCTTCGTAGTGGAATGTATATGGGATCGAGTTCAATGTGTTTATTAATAGCATGCTTTGTGGAGTGCCATGCTTCCAGGAATTCTCATGCTTGTCTCTGCCTAGCCTGTCCCAGGATCTTGGTGTTGCCCCATCGAAGTTGTGGTTCTCCTTCTCCATGTGAATTGAGATGAGTGAGTATTGGTCGTGTCTTTTTGTTGCCAGTTGGTGTTCATGTACTCTTGTTGTTAGTTTCCTTCCTGTTTGTCCGATGTAGTGTTTCTCGCAGTCTCTGCAGGGGATCTTGTAGATGACATCGGTCCTGTCCATGGCGGGGAGTGGGTCTTTAGTTCAGGTGAGCACTTGTCGTAGGGTTGATGTGGGCTTGTGTGCCACTCTGATGCCCAGCGGTCGTAGAAGTCTTGTGGTGAGTTCTGACGTGTTCCTGATGTTGGGTAGTGTGATGAGTGTGTCGGGGAGTGTAAAATCTTTCTGATGCTGTTCCTGTAGGCATCTCCTGACCCAGTTCTTTGGCTATCCATTATCCTTGAACACTTGGAAGAGTATTCTTCCTCCTCTTGGCGTAGTTCCATGTTGCTGCAGTGTGTTGTTGCCCTTTTAAATAGTGTTCGCATGCAGCTTCGTTTGTGTGTGCTGGGATGGTTACTATTGAAGTTCAATAGCTGGTCTGTGTGTGTGGCTTTTCGGTGTACTTTCGTTTGCAGTTCCCCATTTGTCTTGCGCTCTACCATGACGTCCAGAAATGGGAGTTGTTTGTCCTTCTCCTCTCTGGTGAGTTTTATTCCAGTGAGGGTGTTGTTTATGAGTTTGTGTGTGTCTTCTAATTTGGTCCGTTTAATGATGACAAAGGTGTCGTCTGTGTAGCGTATCCATAGTTTAGTTTGGATTTGCGGAAGGGCAGTCCTTTCCAGCCTTTGCATCACTGCTTCTGCTATGAGTCCGGAGATGGGTGATCTCATGGGTGTCCCGTTGATTTGCTCGTATGTTTGGCCGTTGAAGGTGAAGTGGGTGGTCAGGCATAGGTCCAGTAGTTTAAGCATGTTGTCCTTGGAGATGGTTTCACTGGGGTCGTGTTCTTGTTCAAGTAGTGTTGTCATTGTTTCCCTTGCTAGTGGTGTGTCTATTGATGTGAATAGGGCGGTGACATCAAACGATATCATGGTCTCTTCGTCCTCTATCTTTGTCTTTGATGGAGTTGAGGAACTCTTGGGCTGAGTGGATGGAGTGGGGTGACTTGTTGACTAGGTGCTTGAGTCTTCTTTGTAGTTCTCTGGCTAATCTGTGCGATGGAGTGCCTGGTAGAGAGACTATGGGTCTGAGGGGGACTCCCGGTTTGTGCACTTTAGGGAGGCTTGGGGTGTGTTGGTTCCTTCGGGTTTCATTCTTAAGAAGTCTGTTTTGTTGATCTGTCCTGTTTGTTTAAGTCTTTGTAGCGTGTAGAGGATTTTGTTGCCTAGTTATGGTGTCGGGTCAGTTTGTACAGGTCGGTATGTGTTCTAGTCGGCGAGCAGTGCTTGTGCTTTGGAGATGTAGTCCTTTTTATTCATTATCACTGTCATGCTCCCTTTGTCTGCAGGTAGTATAGTGATGTTCTTGTCCTTCTTTAATCTGTCCAGGGCTTGTCTTTCCCTTGTGTTGAGGGTGTTGAGTTCCCTCTTTCTGGTTAGTGTCGGGACTACTGTCTGTCTTATAGTTTGTTGTGTTTCTTTGTTGATATTGTTGGTCTTGAGTGTGGCTTCCAGTGTAGCTAGCCATTCCGTTTTGTTGGCGTCCCTGTAGTTGTAGTTCAGTCCCTGGGTGAGAACATCTTTTTCTGCGTCTGTCAGTTTCCTGTCGGAGAGGTTCCTTATCCATGTGTCAGTTCTGTGATGGTTCAGGTGTGATTGGCTTATTTCTAACTCCCGGGTAATGGACGCAAACTAGGGTTGCTACAGATAAATGAAGTCTTGGAGAGCTACAATAATTTGGTCAACTCCCCATTTTATTATTGTGTAAATTGAAATATGTTTGGTTGTTACATGGTTAATGAGAAGTCTGGAGGAGTAGGCTTGTTTTCTCATGAAGGTTTTATAAACTCAATACCATTGTATTTTAGTTTCAAGACAGTGACAGTCTGAAAGGCAACTGTAACTCTTATGGTCGTGATTTTGTGCTTGTTATAATTGCTTTGCCTGCCCTACAACAGTTGGATAGCTAGGCACCATAACTTGTGACAAAGGGCAAATACCCTTTTATACATTGCAATTTTTTTACTGAACGGAGTTGTTTTCCTTGGCTTAACAGATCAAGCTTCTGATGCTCTGCAGTACTAATTTAATTCATGCAATACGTTACTGCTCACTGATTAGAGCAATATTGACTGTGTTATGGAAAGGTGGTTGTGGTTTATGGCTTTCTATTATGATGTAGTGTCTTTTTAACTGACATAGAAATAGCACCATGGAAGTTTTGTTACAACTGAGGTCTGAATTTTGAGCCTGGCATTCCTTTATAAAGAAGTCAGGAATGTTATATCTTACTTAAGTTTACTTAGGTTTACTTAAATACATATCCATTGTGAAAGATTTTACACTTACTTGTAAAAGTCTTGTTTATCCTAATTTCTATCTGTATCGAAGATTTGAAGTGATGGGATAACATAGATTGTTGGTTAATCCTGCTTTGTCTACATCCACTTAATATCCCACTTGGTTTATTTCATACTGACTGCCTTCTAATGCTGTCCTACCATCAGATGGTACTCTGGGCATTATTTACCAAGAGGGAGAATTTTGAAAGCCAGGCCACTTTTGAGACCTTTCAGGTATTTCCCTGTTGAGAGACAGGAAATATTTTCCTATTCTGGAGCTCAATCCCTAATTAACCAAGAATATTATCTACCATTTACTTTGCCTTTGTAGAATTGTCTTTATCTGGTTGAACCAAGGAGTCAAAATTGCTGAATTTAGGAAATCTGTAAAGTTCATTTACAGACCAATTTATTCTCAATGTGACTCTGCAAGTTCTTTAATGTTTGAGCTGAAATTTGTTTGTTTTCCTCTTGGAAAACTGACACCACACTAAATAGTGTCATTAACAGAGGATTTGTAAATAGCGCACACATGGCATTGATAGAAATTGTGTCGGGATATTTTGTATGTATTTGGGGTTTCTGTTGATGCCCGTTATGTCTACCTTATTCAGGCATCTTTTCCATAACTTTATTTTGCTCTCATTTCTGGATTTGCTGACTGGTCTGCCCAGATTTTTCTTGACTTCAAATCTGTGGCCAAGGCTGCAGTTTAAAATGTTCAGTGGCAGCAGCCAGCTGCTTGATCTCAGACTTCTGAAATTGTGACTGCAGGAACACTTACAAAATGTCAAGCCGTGTTGCATTTACCTCAGACGAGGAAATTCACCAGTTAGCTATTTCAGCTGACAGGGAGAGTCACTTCACATGGCTCATAATTAGCTCTGGGCAAGAAATTTTGTCCAGCTTACTTGCATGCATGATTTTCTGCCAGGACTGTAAAAACATGGTCTTCAGTTTAGTGGAAAAAAAATTTGAATCTTGCAAGGACAAATTAAATTATTCATTTTGATGGGATAGTTTTATGTCTGTTTTGTCATATTAATGTACATATTTTGGGCAATTCTCTGACATGACAAAGACATAAGTAATTTTTACAGGGGACAGTACTCTTAAAAGCTAAAATCTAGTTTGTTTACACAGTCTGGCCAGTATTGAATTTATTTATTTTCGGAATATATTTTAAGATTATGGTACTAAGTTGGATGAATAAAAGTTGAATTACATATCAGTATTTATCTAATACTACTTCCAATTCAGGCAGAAGAGTCCTTTGTTTTGTTTGTAAGCCGTAAAAGGATAGTGTTTGGTTTCCCATTTTTGGACTCCATCCAAAGCAGCATTCAGTTTATAAAACCTGAAATGATGATGCTTCACACTTCAGACACGTAATAATTTAGTTACTTTTGGGCATCTGCTTTTTGGGACTCTTGAGACTGCATTCTAAACAGACAGTGTAATGGCTGCTCCATATAAATTAGGGTACAGATTGCCTTATTAAGTAAGCTACAGTCTGTAATACTTGTAGACTCTCAAGGTCTTAAGCTCTGAATACAGTCAGTTAATAAGATGTCTGCATGTGTTAAATAAACCTCTTGTGATTTTCCTGCATTTGATTTCACTCTTGTTTTCCAGGCTCCAAACTGGACCACTACAGACTCTGGTTTTTACTGACAAGAATTACAGAAATGTGAGCAGATTGAAGTTCCCAACAGTGCTGAGTCATTCCACCATTTGACGTTCATCTTTAACAACAATTTTTTTTTTAAAGTGGAAGACATTATTGTCATGTTTTGAAGTACATATAAGTGGATAAAATAAAATGTTAACTTGAAACATTTCAATCTTTCCATCTTATTTTAGGATTATTTGTAGTTCTGTCAATCTTTTTATCACTCAATAAAGTTTGTTCCTATTCTGCATTAGGACTACAAGAGAAATCAGTCTGTTTATATTGTGATATTCTGCAGTGAGCTGAGCACAAATGATATATTGCACCATCAAAAGTTGTTAAAATATGTTTGAAAGTGTAAATGGGCAACACTTAAAAGATGGCTTTAGGCAAGAACTGAGGAGCAAACGCAACATAGTCATTCAGGTGATTTCACCTGCTTGGTTTCAATGAGTAATATAAACACAGCAGCTGCTACGTCCTAGTTAAGATACAGTTGTCTCATTTAACAATCAGATATTGACATCATTGCTCCACCAGTCTGCTAGTAGACTGGAATGGACTTGTCTTATTCATTTAACATACTCCTAGCTCCAGCCTACCATCTGAAAAGTAATTATCCCTATCATTGTTCTTTATTTTAGTAAGGCTTATTTGGTAACACACTTGGCTGAGAATCTGAAGGTTATGAGACAAATTCACACACCAGAGATTGACCTCAACATTCTGGCTGACACACTGTGTAGTACTGAAGAAGTACAGCATTATCTTTTGGCTGAGATGTTAAATCAAAGCCCTGTCTGCCCTTCAAGGTGGATGTACAAGATCCTATAGCATTGTTTCAAAGAATAGAGAGATTTGCCCTGTTCTGGCCAATATTTATTAATCAATCAACAGCATTAAGAAAGATAATCTGATGGTTATCACATTACTCTCTGTGGGATATCGCAGTTTTCAGATAGACTTTGTTTCCCACATTACAACAGTGACTAAACATCAAAAATACATAATTGGTGGTAAAGTGGTTTTGGATGCCATGAGGTGCTATAGGAATCAATTTCTGGCTTTTTAAAATTTATCAGTCGTAAGCTGTGACTACTGAGGAACTCATTTTATCTTAACCTGAAAAAAATTACTGAATTCAACTTTAGTTAATGCTGTTCTGCTGTTATTCAGTGATGTTTTATCTCATTATTAAAAATTCTAAAATCAACCTGTGGAGCTGAAACAACAGGAGGGCCAAGAAATCATCTCACCATTTTGCTATAGTCTTAGTATCAGTACCAAAATGTCCATTCAAGTTTGCAGTATTCATAGGATTTTACAGCACATAAGGCTATTCAATCCATTTTGTCTGTTTCATCTCTTTAGGCCTAATTGGATAACACTTCCAATGTACCTGCTTTTTCCTTACAGCCCTGCAATTTTGTTTCTTTTAAGTATTTATCCAATTCCCTTTTTGAAAGTTACTTGTAAATCTGCTCCCTCCGCCCTTTCAGTCCATGCTGTCTAAATTATGAGAACTCGTTATGTAAAGAAAGCTCTTCATCTCTTCTCTGACACTTCTACCATTTATTTTAAGTTTGTCCCCGTCTGGTTACTAACCGGCAGGAAGCATTTCTCTGTTTTCTGTATCAAAACATTCAAATTGGAATACCTCTATTAAATCTCACCTTAATTTCTGTGCCCCAAGGACAAAAGTCCCAGATTCTGTACTTCCTTCACTCTTGTAAATTAATGGCTGATTGTATCCAAATGTTCCAAAGAACTAATTAAATCCAACCACATGGAGCAAAAAACTAAATGTTGTAAATGCTGAAAATCCAGAGTAGAAACAGATAGTGGGAAATGTCAACAAGAGAGTCAGGACCTTTAGAAAGGGAAAGGCAAGGTGATCAACCTCTCCTTTGGAAAGGCGCTGCTTAAGATGGGCAGCTTATTGGGAGAAACAAAATTGGACACAGCTTTGGGGTTTAGCTGGAGACTGTTGATGCATTATTGCCCCTATTGTAGGCACCAGCTAACTTATTCGGTCCAATTATGTGTTCCTCACTTTAGGAGGGATGGTGGGCTTCTGTGAGGGTTCAGAGGAAATTTACCAGAATTACCAGAGGAGGGATTTATGTTAAATGGTGAAGTTGGGATTTTTCTCCTTGGAGCAGAAAAGGTTCAGTAGAGATTTTAATAGAGGTATTCAAAATTAAGAAAAGTTTTTAGTAAAGAATGAAAAGAGGGAACTGTTTCTGGTGGAAAGAGAGTCAGCAACCAAAGGATTATAGATTTAAGATGTTTGGAAAAGAGGGCAAGCCAAATTTATTTCTATGCAGCAAGTTATGATCTGGATGCACTTAAAAAGTTGCCAATACTCCAGGATTGAGCTGGAGTCTCCAGGAACAGACAAAACTGCTGCACATTAACCCAGAGACAACTCATAGCAATGTTATGATAAAAACATTTACCTATTAATTATAAAAGCACTGGAGTGGGTAAACCATCACATAAGTTACTTGACTGATGATTAAGAATCATCCAATGGATAATGAGTCTTTCCATTTTTGGAATGGCCATAAGGAGGTGGGGGTGTGGTGAGGATGAGGGTGTCAGGCAACTAAAAGCAAGAGCGTGGGGATAGAGTGGATGGAGACAAGTGATTGATGAAAACCTCCTGAGACACATTCAACAGAGTTGGCAATCCTAAATGTACTTCATGAAAGTTGGTGGAAACAGATTCAATGTTAATT